TATGATCACTCCCAACAAAAAAAGAGATATTTCTGTTATCCAGGAAAACAACTTGGACTTGATCGAACTACTGGCTTGGCTATGAGCATAGTAATTATGAGTTGCTAGCATATTTGGATGCAGAGAAACAACAAAATATTCAAACATATAAGCCCCAGCATCACCTTCTGGAAATTGCAACCCACGAAAGATCTAGAGCTGCTCAAATTCAGAACTAAGCAGCAACTACATCAAGTTCTTCAAGGATGGATTGAGTCAAGATTAACCTGATTTTTAATCTTTATTATGTTTCCTAGAACAGGCGTTGGATAGAGGGATTCATCCTTCCCCTTGTATTTTATTTTTCTTTGTACATAGCTACTTTGGGTTATATTAATGAAAATTTACCGTAAAACTATTGTTCTACTGTCTCTGCCTAAAAAAAGATCTTACCACTTAATCATCGTGAGAGCCTCGATCTTCGGCGTACTCAAGAGAAGATAATTGTCAACACTATGGCTACAATGAAGAAACCATGAGGGACCTGAATGCAATCTTCTTTCTTGGTCAAGTTTTTCATAAAAATACCGGACAACTCACCTTATGTGACTGTTGTGTTTTTTGTAGTTAGAGCATCTACAGCCGGACACAACAAATCCGATCCCTCAAACACTCACGGATGCACCCGAGCGCGTCCACGGATAGTGACTAATCAGCCCCTCAACAATCTCTTCCCCAACTCGATACCTCAATTTAGAAACCTCAAATTCATACTATTACATGCAACATAAACCTAATCTAAGAGAAGCACGTTTCGACTCTGCCGTGCCCATGTCCCGCCGCCGGCTGCCCCCTCGAAGTGTTGGTCCGGTCACCGGTGAGGTAGAGTAGAACATGGAACACACATCGGCTCACCGGACTCAAGGCGCCGCCTTCTCTCATGCCCTACTCTTTCTCGTCGGAGCCTGAAACCTTGACAGTGCCAGTGGATGTGAGATCGATGATGGATCCGTCCTGGGAGGAGCCTGTGACGTCCACCACGACGCGGTTACGGTGCTCAGACTCGTGCACCATACGGGGCGCCGAAGAATGCGACTCCCCTCGCCAACGTCCACAGCCGCAAGGGCTATTGCTATCTCCCGCGCATGCTGCCTCGCACGACGGGCACGCCGTGCCATATTTGCTTCGGACGACGCCCATGCATTCACCTCCGGCTCAACGCGCCAACAAAGGGGTTGCGCGTCCGCCACCGCGTTCGGACGCCAAACGGACCACACCGCCTCTGGTGAGGCAGCGGCGGCACACATCACAGCAGATCCATGCGTCATTTGGGCAGATACAATGAATTTCCGATCGAAGGAGTCCGAGCGTTGTCGTGGGGCAGCCTCATCCTGAGAGCGACGGAGCCCACAGTCATCTCCTCCTCGGGGCCGCGCGGATGAGCTCGGAGTCAACAGATCTGGAGGTGTAGGACTCGGATCCGCTACCCGCCATGTCGGAGATAGTCGGACGTAAGCTTGAGTGGCGGACTGGAGTGGAGTGCCTAGGGTTCGGTCTGGGGAGCGGATGTGAACAAATATATGTGGGGTCGGGTGGGCCGGGTCCAACGTGGTGGATGAGCCCGAGCCTCCCCGTATCCGTCTCATATTTAGGATGGATATGAAGGGTGTCGGTCAGTCCGGCGTTTGAGGCCAGTTTGAGGCGCCCATCTGGGTCGGACTTTTTTGACCTGTCAATGACCGAGCCGTCCGCCTGGGCGTATGAGGGCGGTTTGAGGTGCCCGGTTGTTGATGCTCTTATGGTCCATTCGATAAAAGAAATGGGGATGGGAGGGTGGGCGGGGAAAAGGGGACCGACATTTGTTCGTTAGGAAATAACCAAATACTTGATAAGCTAGAAATGATAAATCCACATGCTTCTCATCGTTGCTTCCTCACAAAAAGCCACTTTTTGGAATGTTGGGCCTAAACTTTCAGTCCAGAGACCTGAAACAGCTGTACAGTGATTGATTGAATCCCAAGTCTCAAGTGCAAGTAGGCAACTAGCCATTGCTGGAGCTCTACGGGTTGGCAGCCATGGAGCGAGCTGACAGGGCGGCCAGACACACTCGATAAGGCCTCCACATGCTTCAGCGTACGTACACGGGTAACGCCCCTCGAGGAAAACGTGCGCTGTCGACGGCCCAGCCCGGCCGGTCAGCACCGCGTGTCCGGCCAAACCCCTTTGCATACGCGCAGTACGTTCGCGTGGGGGACACGGATGGGTGACCTGATAGCGATGCTGCATGCTATCCCTCCCAGAGTCCCAGTCCCAGCATGCGCTTCAAAAACACACACTGACACGCATATATAAATGTTCTTTATTTATGCAGTGGAAACATATGGCTGTTCTTTTCTGCAATGGAAGTATATGCAGAACATATATGTGATTGCGCTTATATTTATGCACACTCTTCCTTACCCCCTGTGGCACGTGGGAGCATACAAAAGGATACTCCTTCCGTCCGAAAATATTTATTAAAAATAGATAAAAAATGAATGTATCTAAAGTTAAAATACATGTATTTTTTTACAAGTATTTTCGGACGTAGGAAGTATTAATTAATGTAATGGTTTGAAAGTACCAGCAGCAGGGTGCTCTATCGGTTATTCAGGCAGCAATATCTTCAGGAAATATGTGCCGAAACAGTAAAATTATATTTTTATGAGTAAAAAGGACCAGATTTTATAGATTATTCAAACAATGAGCAACAGATTTTACACAGTGAAACAGGCACAATCAGTAAAGACATTCGCTGAAACAAAATGTTACATCAAGGTACTTCGGGGTAGTCGTCCTAGCTTCACCTTTTGCATCTCGATTTTTCCTTCACATTTCCAACCATAAAACTGTGAAAACCAAATCCAACATAAGCATAAAGGTTTTACATTGCCGCATGACTCATCCATCTCCAATAGATAAGAAACTTAGGTTGCTAGACACGTCGTGGCCACAGACACACTTCTTGCAATGTAAGCGGCCTCACTACTGCATCATCACAATAAGGTCGAATAAAAAGACCATACAAAGGAATGAAACTAAAACATCAGTGCATAAAACAAACCCACAACTGCCAAGTTAATTAGGCCGAAGCATCGGATGACACCACCAAATCGGTAGCCATTGATTTATGGTCCAGACACACCACATACTCTTCGGTGCCAGTCGTGACTAAGACGGGGTTAGAGTGGTGGACTTTTATTCCACTTGACATTGCTTCTACCATCGCGTCTATACCTTTAGGACACATGAAACACAAATAGAGAAGACAACTGAAATTGCTCTCCGAGTGTTCTTACGTGGTTCCCCTCGCCTCCTAGTATGTCCGAGATGAGGGAATGCGGAAACCAGACTCCAGCTCGCTCACGACTAGAGTCTTTTCCTTGCATTCTCTCCTATCAATTCAAAGTGTTCTAGTATCACTCTAGGTATATTTTTTGCAATAAAACCTATTTCTATACACAATATGCAATCTCGAAGGGTCTCATGACTACCTTCCAAAAAAAGGGGTTTCATGAGAATCAAAATATGTCATTTCTCCAAGAGAAAAACTAGAATTTCTCAAGCAGGGTATTTGTCATCACCAATAGGCACCATGACTCCTTTTGGGGATCACTTGGCTTGGCACTAGGCCCCTAAACGAGCACTACCCCACATGATACAACATCACTCGTGAGTCATGGCACCACATGATTGTCGTTGAGGCGGTTTACTTTGTCCGATGAATTCCGGTTGCAGGTGATCATCACAACGGCACGAACTTATTGGCTTGAAATTAACTAGGCGATCTAGCTCAAGTAGGTCAGTGTCAGTGAAACTTGCAGTCGTCGTCGTGTCAATTTTCCATGTAATGTATGTGTTCGGACCTCTATTTCCGCAAACGGTTTTGGTGGATCTCAGTGTAGAGATCAGATGGTTGTTGTTGTTGTTGTTGTTGTTGTTGTTGTTGTTGTTGTTGTTGTTGTTGTTGTTGTTGTTGTTGTTGTGAATATGTGTTTGGTAGCCAGGTGGTGGGGGTATCATGAAAAGGAAAAAGGAGAACATAATTGGACAACGCGCAACTAGCTAAAAACGGGGAGCACGACGCAATGATGCTCTTATGCACAGACAACAAAATCATAGCACACCATCATCTGCTCTTGCCCTTTTCGAAAAAAATCATTTGTTCTTGCCTCACTCTCATGGAGCTAGCTGATATTTTATCCATGGTTTTAAATAGCCCGCTATAGCTTCGCTATAGCACGCTATAGCGTTTACAAAAGGTCTTGCGCTAAAAGATTTTGGTTCAAACAAATGAATAAACATTATAAATAGCGCGCTATAGCACGCGTTTAGCGCGCTATTTAAAATTTTGATTTTATCCCGCGGCGCGTATATGGATCTCGCTCCTTTATTGTGTGTATGTACTCTCTAGCACGAATAGCCCGGCCGCTTATCGATCTCACTGGGGGAGGGTCTTGCACTTTTCGTCAACCTACCTAGCTGAGTAGCTGTCGGCGCATCGCATGTGCGAGCTCTCTCTAATCTCTCTCTATATATACCACCCTCGAGCTCTCTTGCAGCTCACAGGCTCTCACCCGTAGCCACAGCCACTACCTTCCTTCCCTCCATCGAGTCGTACGCGCGTCCACTTCCTCCCTGGAGTCCGGCGCGTACGTCTTCGCCGGAGCAAGCTACCTACACGCGGCGGTCGGCCATTGTCTCCACCGAGTCCATTCCATCGATCTCGGCGACTGGTCAGTAAACTGATCTGCAGCTACCTAGAGAGTAGCGTGAGTGTGTGACGGAGCTTGGCAGCCGGCCCGCAGCTACATATACAGGGCAGCTGGGTTGGCGGGGTTCTCGGAAAAGAACAACACTCCAACAAGAAGGAAAGGCTTTTGAGCACGTGAGGATGGTGAACACGGCGTCGGCCGGCGTGAACAAGGCGGCGGCGGCGGCGGCGCAGGGGGGTCACCGGGCGCTGCCGCTGGCGTCGCTGAACCACATCTCCGTGGTGTGCCGGTCGCTGGAGAGCTCGCTCAGCTTCTACCGCGACGTCCTCGGCTTCATCCAGATCCGCCGCCCGGGCTCCTTCGACTTCGACGGCGCATGGTACGTGGGTTCCATCCATCCATCGGCCGGCGGTGTGGGGCACTAACATATTTCTAGGTCCGCCACTGACACATGGAATGACCGCCGGATTTTTCAGGCTGTTCAACTTCGGCATCGGCGTGCACCTGCTGCAGGCGGAGGACCTGGAGAGCCTGCCGCCCCAGAAGACGGAGATCAACCCCAAGGACAATCACATCTCCTTCACCACGGTACTATACCAATACAACCACCACCATTGCCGCACTTCTGCTCATTCTTCTGCCCATTGTTATTCAGAGCAGTAGCTCCTGTAGAAAGTGTCGTCAGAAGCACAAAAGGAAAGAAAGAAAAAACAGACAGTTGCACTGCCCACACCCTGGCCTGTACCTCACACGACACATGCAACTTGCACTAGTTAGAAATAGAATAGTCTACCCAATTCTTCGAGAAGCAGATCGATCCATGTGAGAAGAGACGGCTGGAATTGCTTCTGGTTGTCATCTTGTGACCACGCTCGATCGGCCAAACTAAGTACAGCCAAGCCGCTCCCGTCTCCTTCCATCCCACAGAGATCGACTTCTCTCCTTCCTCCTTCCGGATTTGTTCGCCAGGTACAACACAAGTGGCGTCGATCTGATCCACCTCGTACGTACGTACGTCGTCAAGCTGAGAAACGACAACCGAGATCCATGGTCAAATATATGTACAGCTAGTCGCTATAGAGTAGCTAATGAGCATTGCTCTAGTTGGTTATTCTTGGCCAATGTCAATCGGAGTAGCTAGAGTGGTAGCGCTCAGAACCTTCTCACCATCTGTTCCAGGGTGTGGATGTGAATTGTGAAACGCACGGCTCCATTCATATTGGATGCGTCCAAACAAACAGATCTCGATCCAAGGATGCTTCCAGCTCAACTACACTTAACAAACACAACACCAGAACATAGTTACTACATGGTGGAGTACGTAGCTAGTACGTATATATTAATTCAAGTGAGATCTCGAGTTGAAAATCAGCCCATGAGGAATGCATCCACATGCACGATCATGCGGCGCCATCACCATGCACGCATGCATGTCCACCCTTGATCTCACGACAACAATCATACTAGCATAAAATAAAGTCCTGAGTCCTGACCTGGGGAATACATGCACAGTGTACACCGTATCACCATCGCGATGCCTCCATATGCTCTCTGCAGTTGCACCCACGTTGATCACGGCACTTCAGCTAGATCTCGTCGTGCGCCAGTGGCTCTACTGGCTAGACTTTCGTCGTGCCCGTCTACTCCGTGTGTGCCACTGTGGTTGCACAATTTCCTTTCTGTCTCAATGCACATGCACACTGGAGAGCGATTCTCCACCCGGCCGGACTGGATACGGAGCCCCCCGTGAGCTACCGTGATGGAGCGCGACACGGTGGACACATGCGTGAGCTGGACTGTGACAGGTCACATGCGCATATTATGCATACAGTGTCCACTGTCTAGCGCTAGCAAACACCTTGCGTATAGTGCCTTGTGCTTATAGTGTTTCGCCTAGCTAGATTACATGTGATAATGTGATGTGATGGTTTGCGCGCGAGAGGATAGATAGATCCAACAACAAGGATACGTGTCATGTGTGTGTGTGCATGTGGATGGATATGATTCGTTGTGTGGCTGGGAGTGCGTGGTTCGTGGGCTGACGTGTCATGCGTTGATTGGTATCGTATGCATTGCAGTGCGAGAGCATGGAGGCGGTGCAGCGGCGGCTCAAGGAGCTGGGCATCCGGTACGTGCAGCGGCGGGTGGAGGAGGGCGGCATCCACGTCGACCAGATCTTCTTCCACGACCCCGACGGCTTCATGATCGAGGTCTGCACCTGCGACAACCTCCCCGTCATCCCGCTCGTCACGCACCTCGACGCCGCCGCCTCCTGCGCGCCGCCCGCGGTCGTCGCGCCCAGCTGCAAGAGGGTCTCCAACCAGCACCAGCAGCAGCTCAGCACCATCGTCACGGCGGCCGTGCCCGAAGTCCCGCCAACGGCGGCCCCGGCGCCGCAGCAGTCCGTCGGCGGCGGCTGCGTCGGCGAGGTCGTCGACCCGGCGGCCAGCATGTCCGCCAGCGCCATGATGACCTGCTCGGAGCACGCCTGCATGCAGGTGTAATCATTCATTCGCCCGTTGGCTTGCGAGGACGCGACGTTTTGACGGACTGTCGAGCTCGAGCTCGAGCCACGCATGCATCGTTTCTGCGGTTTCTTTTGCCCGGCCGTAATTAGCTGTGTTTAGCACCGGCCCGGTTTCTTTTCTTCGTCCAATATATTCGAGTACGTACGTAAATTGTATTCAGCTGCTTGTGGGTAGCTCTGGCCATCGCTTACGCTGGAGTGGATCCATTGACCTCTCAGCCAGGTAGATAGCTAGTGGCTTGCTCTGCATGCATGCCAGTGTGTGTTGCACTTGCACATATATATATATGTATGTATGTATGTTGTCATATATCTGTG